GGCCATCAGATGCTTAACGATAAATGATGGTAAAACTACAGGGAATTTCGAATTGAATCCTTTATTCAATCTACGAGGATAGTGTTCTCGTTCTAACCATATCTAGGGATATCTCGTCTACCTCTTGTTTGGTACGGCTCAGTTATTAACCGTAGGCATACGGCTACATCACATTGAAACACCGGTTCACGTACGATCACCGAAGTTAAGCAACGTTGAGTCTGGTCAGTACCTAGATGGGTGACCGCTTGGGAATACCAGGTGATATAAGCTTGGACATGCAGGTGGTGTACTGGATAACGACTCGGAATTGTTATTTGGAGAGATGAGTTCCAATTCCAGTTGGGTTCGTTATATTCACTTACGCATAAATACCCTTGAAAAGGTATGAATCCACCTCTTCTCCCCTTAGCTATTGGTTAATTAGGGCTTGTATCAGAAAACCATTATTATTTCCCCAAAAATTACTTTAATCTAAAAAAGACTTCTGGCTTTAAATAACCTGCAAAGGTTGATAAACCTTAAAAAGCATATCAGTCGATCAAGAAGGGAATATTATTGGCGCATTTCTTAAAATACCTAATAATGTAAGAGATCGTTCCGAAAGTAATGCTTCCTAAGAATTTATATGCATAATCTACACTGAACAGAGAAGCACAGTAACGTGGTTTGAATGAGCAAGTTTTAAAATAATAATAATAATAATTTTCGAAAAAAATCCCGATTGAATCTCGTCAAACTATCACTGGCATATCCGGACACTTAAAATTTCATTTTAAGTGTCCGGGTGTAAAATTTTGTTAACACATTGACTCCAACAACGAGATATCTCGTGGTTAGCAGTTTTTATTATGACGCTAACCACGAGTTATCTCGTGCTTAGTATTTTCTGATCCATTTTCTTCTGCTGGCACCAACAACAAATTTATTCGTAGTAGTACCCTTTTGTTTTCACAGGAAACACTGTTAAGACTTCAGTTGAAGCTATAAATCAACTAAGAATGTTTTATTGCTTAAGATGGTATTTGAAGTCAGATTTCGTAATTGACCCACGACAGTCAACATGCTAAATAACCTTTTTTAAATTCATACAGTATAAAAAAGTATTAGAATGTAAAAATTAATGATTATTTTATCGTTAGTATTGAAGAAGAAGTACCTTCAAAGTTATCATATCAAAAATATGTGTGGCTGGACTTTCTTACCAACGTAATATTTTGTTGCAGCATTTCTCCTAATTCGACTGAAATTTTACGTACCTCCGCTGACTTGTTAAAAAGGGGGCATACCATGAGGGAAAATGCCATAAAGTTAATAAAAACAAAGTTTTACCGTCAAAATGTTTATGTTATTATTAAAAGGAAAGAACAGGATTTTTTTATTATTAAATTATATATTTTTTATCCTTTTTAGAACCTTTCAAATTTTGGTTAAACATCTTGTTTTTTTTTAGCGTCAGTGGAGTGGAGAGATTACTGTATGAAATTTTAGCGTCTTTTTGCGGTGAAAAACATTGATTTGGAAATTCTTGTAAAAATCAAATAATTGTCGGATTTTAATGAAACTTTCAAGACTCATTCACAAATAATTGAAGTTATTTTTTAAAATGTTTTTTTTAGAATTTTTTTTACATTCGTTACCCCCACACTCACATTTATTTAATTTTATGAAATTTCGAGAAATTAAATTTTATAGTTCGTAATGTTTATATTCAGAACTCCTTGTAGAATTTCAATCATCAATTTCTTTTACCAGTTACCGAAAATCTGATCTGAATCGTAAAATAAAAATACAATAAAACTAAGATATTATTTAATTAGAAAAGCTTTCAATTGTTTATATGAATAAGATATAGTATGAACACTATTGTCTGAAGAAAAATATCAATGAATAATGAATTTTTAAAAGAACTTTTTAAAAAAATTTTAATGAGAATAATTCATAAAGTTTTAAATCTTTCAAAATTCTGTCTTACTTTGCAGAGGTTAGATAATATTGTTATTAAGGAAAAAATATATTTATTAATCATAAATGGAAAAGCATATTACAATTTAGCGACAGGCAATGTTTTAAAAAGAAATTAAATTATATCTTCCAAATATATCCTTCCACTCTCTTTTGGGAAATTTATTTAATAAATGTACAGAACACATTTAATAATAATATGTGGACATTGTCACATAAGTTACATTTTATCTTTCCTTTGAAGAGTTTTCCTTAATGCTTTAGATTAGCGTTTCTTAGTACTGAGCCTACATTTATCGATTCAAACAAAACTGAAAAATCGATAAGGATGGAAAAATGAACAGTCCTTTTTAGCCATGTCGAAATTTGAGAACGCAAAGTATTTGCTGATAAAAACTAAAAAGGAAAAAAGTAGATGCCAATTTCGAAACCAGTTTCATTTTTCAGTTCAGCACTTTTAAAAGATATTTAAGAATTGATATATATGTTGGAATGACGATATGATAGTATTCATGCACAGTGATGCTTATGTATGATTCTATATGATAAAATGACTATGAAATACCCATGCAAAGTATATCAAGGAGAATATATGAAAACCAGTTGAATGTTTAATCTTTTTTTATTGCCAAACTTTCGTTAAATAATCTATCTATCTATCTATCTCTCTCTCTCTCTCTCTCTCTCTCTCTATATATATATATATATATATATATATATATATATATATATATATATATATATCATCTATATTTAATCTATCTATATATATATATATCATCTCTCAATTACGCTTCTGTATTCGGGCAGAGTGCCACTCAGTTGCGGCTCGGTCAGGGGACAGGGGAGCAACTGGGAAAATAACACTGTGATGCCTAGCCCTAGGGAAGACATTCCCGATGTTGCATCCTCTTATGGCACTAGAGGGAGGAATCGGTGCTCGCACTTGAGGAATTTTTGTCCTTGGCCTGAGGTTTTTGCTGTTATCATTTCATGTTTTTAACAGAGCTCATATTGCAATTTTGTTGTTATTATCGCTTTTCTTTGGCACTCCTTATTACTAGTTCCCATATTGTATTCATTTCTATGCTCGGTCGGTTCAGCAGATTTTTGTGGCCTTAGTATATGTGCTGATTCCTTATGTTTACGAATTTTCCAATGGTGTTCTTTGTCTATGATCTCAACCTGATCCCACAAAGGGCGGTGATCTCCCTTTTCATTACATATGTGGTCAGCCATGCCTGATTTTTCCAATTACCCTCGTGTTACAGCTTTCTGGTGTTCTTTAAGCCTTACCTTAAGGAGACGGCTTCAAGAACACCAGAAAAAAAATTGCAATATGAGCACTGGAAAAAATGTTGCTGATGACATTAGGTTTATAATACCCATAAATTCAAAAACAGATGTTCTCAAAGACACATGGCACATTGGATAAATAGCGTTAGTTAGATCCAGTGACAGGACCCAAAGAGTGTGAGTTCAATACCCGGTTAAGGCCGTGGAGAACTTGGAGAGGGGAATGAACAGGAGATTAATGATAACTGACATCCATTAAAACATGGTACGTGGAACTAGAACAGTCTACCCCAATGAGCGAAATAAACTGTTCAGTTCGACATTCCAACTACACGAAGAAGGTCGGAGCGTACAACGGCCGAATAAATATGGCGACAAAGGTTAGGACAATAGTCCGAATAATGTAAATAGAATACTGAGCTGTTACGTGACATCTGTCCTTTTTTACGGCAGCAAATGTTGGACGGTCTCCTCAAAGATGAAGAGGACACTCGAGGGGTCACGGTTAGTGAGGTTGACTATAAGTACTGAGTTCGATCCTCACTGAGTATCCATACTTGTGATCTCGTGTTAAACTAAGCTTAGTACAAGAACATTAATTTTAACCTTAAAACCTCCAAGATTGCTCACACAGAAAAATAACCAATGCAGTTGCATAATTACTTAATAGATCGCGACATCTATCGGAGAGATAAAATTTAAATTTTTATTATTACATTTTTCCAAAATTTTAACACATCAGCAGATAGCTATTAATGTCAACAGCCGAGTACAAATTAAAAAATTTAGTAATTAGTGCATAACATTATCCATAACTACATGTACAAAAATGTCGTTTTATATAAAAGTTAAAAAATAATCCTAAATACATAAAAAAAAATGCGTATATTGTCGAAAATTCCTTTTTCTACAATATAGCTATTTGTGCTGTTATAATGCTTATTATTTAAACAATAATAATACTGAATAATTTTTTTAAACATTACCTCCACAGAAACACGATACATAAGGGTTAAAATGCACTTTTGAAAATGAAAAATATTTCTTGAAGCTTTTATTTTAGTTTTAAATTCAAGCTAATCGAGTAAATTTAATGTTTCCAATGAACAAGATACTTTTTCTGTATTTAAAAAATACTTTAAATTGACTGGAAGGATTTTTCGAATTAAAATTGCTAAAATAGCTGATTTTAGCGCCATTTTTATCCACCCGTCATCATGTAATTCTCTTTATTAAAATATCTTTCAAAAATAAAATATACTTTTATGAAACTTTATTTGAGGAATATTAGCTGATTTAAAGTTTAATTAATTTGATTTAAAATATATATTACTTACATTAAGTTTAAAATATAGCAAAAATACATTTTTAACATGGCGGTAGCTGTTTATTTAAGAGGTTGACAGGTTAACAGCTTGACTGACAGACGAAAGTTTATCTAATTTGGTTCTATTACTTGAGGAATATAACGTAAGCGCCTTTTTCATATAATTTTTAACTACCCAACAAGTTTCAAAATTTAGGAAAATATTTCCGTAATCTAATGTTTTATTGAATTTTAGGTACTTTGGCTTTAAATTTACTATAATTATCGCTCTTTTTTCTATTCATGTCGTGTATGGACTTCCGTATTTACAAAAATTGGCACGTTTATCCGCATACAAACAAATTTAATAACGAACACAAATAGAATTGAAACTCGGTTCCAAGCCATTGTTCATTACACCACCCGCACATTCACAGCCCGTGATATTCCCAAGCGATCGCCCATCTAGGTAGCGACCAGACTTGACGTTGCTTAACTTCGGTGATCGCACGAGGAACTGGTGTTTCAACATGATGTAGCCGTAAGCCCTTTATATCACCCGCACATCCAATTTTACAACACGTGATATTCCAAGCGGTCACTCATCCAGGATCGACGTTGCTTAACTTCGGTGATCGTACAGGAACCGGTGTTTTATCATTCACGTATAGTTACCTCTACAGTTACATATAAATAAAGAACAACTTGTTTCGTAATAGAGTTGTGACAATTATATTTATTTAATTTACTTCTATCGTAAAAATAATGAATATACTTTCACTGACGCTATCATTAGAAACTTTAATATGTAAATCATTAATTGCTTTTATTCCAATTATTAGTATTTGATAATTTTGGGAAATTAGTTTATTATTAACAATTGGAAAACAATACCCCATTTTATATTCAGTAAAATCACATATTAAAACTAGTTTACCAAATCAATAAATAACGTCACATTCTGTAATGTCTACTATTATTATCTTTTCACAGTGTGATAAAAGAAACCATAGTTGTCTTCTCCTCGAACTTCTCTACAATAAAAAATAATGGCCGAACGTCACTTGGTGGTGAAATTGCGTTGAAAGCTTTATTACAAGTTTAAAAGTTCGTCAGTTTTTTTCTTTACATACATGTGAATCTTTAAATGTACTTTACCATTTATTATAGTTGAATTTTGATTTTTCATAGTGTTGGCTTTCCCCTTACGATTTCCCTAACAGTCCACCATTATCATAAGAAAGACATTACCACAAGAATGATAACTATATTTATATTCCTTGCACTGATGATATTACAAGTTGCGATTATTAGAGCGGAAAAATACAACTACTATTATATTGTAGCGGCGTTGCCAGCTTCTTATGGCATTATTAAATGTTAAAGGGATATATTTAATGTTTGGATGTATATTCCTGTAGTGTAGGGAGAGTATTGTGGACGCAAGGGATGCTTTCTCGGATTGGAGATAGGACTAAACTTATTACAAACAGCATTGTCAATGCCTTCCAAAAGCTAAGCAGAGTACTAAGAAATAGAAAGACTTCGCTAGAAACAAGGAAAAGAGTATAAAACTGTTACGTGATATCTGTCCTCCTGTATAACAATGAGTGCCGGACGATCTCCTCAATGATGAAGAGAAGACTTGAAACAACTGAAATGCGGCTCTACAGAAGGATGCTGAGGATACCGTGAACCTAACATGTGAGCAACGACAAAGTTTTAGAGAAAATGGAAATAAAAAGGAAACTTACACTTAATATCAGGAAAGATAGTTGAGGTTTCTAGAGCACATAATGAGGAAAGAGGACTTGGAAAATCTAATACTTACAGGACAGATTGAAGGCAAAAGAGACGGAATGCATAGTCAACTTGAGTAAATCGATGGCGGGATAGGGTTTGGGAGAAATAACAGAAAGACAATGTTTGCTATTATTTTGTTACAGACTTTTCGAGTCTGGGTCAATCTCAGCTGTCTGGAAAATTGTCAGGAAAATCTATTATTCTAAAAGAAAAGAAATTTGGCCAATTATTTCTGCTGCAATATTTATCTCAATTGCAATCATTCATTTTGTTTCTTTTTTTCTCGTCTGATGAACAGAGATTGGTATAATTAAAAATAAAAGAATGAAACCATAGTTATTTATAGTTTAAAATCTCGAACGTTCTACAGAGACGTTCCACTTTTGCCAATAAAAAATAGATAAATAAAATAAAATTAAAATTAAAAGTCACAATAAAATACTATACTTAAAAAAATTTTTCAGTCGAGTCGAACTCGTTCTGAAACTAAGTTTTCGGGTGTGGCTTAATAGAAAAAAAGAATTTTGCTGCATTCTGGTAAAGGAGACATGACCAGGCAGTGAAGCCACAGCGGCGATCAGAGTAAAGATTAGACGTGTAAAGGATTGAAATCTGCCCTCAGGGTTGGGGCGACAAAAGGCGATGATGTAGGAAAGGGGATCATTATCGTAGTGTTCTGAGACAAAAGGAAAGATGGAAGGGTTCAACAAATATTAAAAACAGACATCAACAAGAAAGAAAACGTGCTAATATACACGTTTACGTAAAAAAAGAACGTATTCATCTTAATTTTTTTTTATTATTACAATATTACAGATGAAAGTGACTCCGAAAAACATCCAGTGTTTACGTTGTTAGTCTTGAAAAATCTTTTTAGTTTATAGTACTGAAATTTCAATATTTATCTTCAGAACAATGAAGAAATGGTAATGATAATATTAATTAGCCGTTTGCATAAAAGAATAATTTACAACATTCTAAAAACTAATAAAATTAGAACTAACGCAATGCAATATTTATCATTTACCAGTTTATGAAGAAATAAATATGAAAATAATTTTTTATTCATAAATCCATAAACATTTACTAATTATTAAAATATGTGAAGCAACTGTAAGGGAATGTTTATTATTTACCATTTTATAAAGTTCGAATCAATTGGCAATTATCCGATGTTTCCAATAAAATGTAATAAATATTCTTTATTATTTTGTTGCCAATTCTCAATCACAAAGAAAATTATATAACTGACTTTCATATGTTTAAGTTTATTGAAATTCTAATCATCACTTTTTAAAACAATAAACATTGACGAGGAGTGAAAGTAGTTAAAATAATAGCGGTGTCAATGGAAAAACCATCCGTTTTCTCTTCGATTTCTTTTTTTTTGTTTTGTTTTTTGGGGGTTTGGGGGGGTGCGAGCAATGAAGATTCAATTTTACTCGACATTTTCTGACCAAGCAGCCAGTACTTCTGCCGGTTGAAATTTGTTGTAAAATCGTTATAGTAAAACAATTTTTCAAGTTTTTTGAAGTTCAGTAGCTATTATCGCTCTTTCCAGTATTGTTGGGGGTTTCCTTCCTAATCTTTTGTTTGACGTAGCGTGGAACGTCGACATCTTGATTATGTCATTATTTTCTCTTTGACTTACATGTGCTATCTATTTTCGTTGTTGCTGCTGTTGAATGTTCTCAAATGATGTTGTTTCCGTTTTCTGGTACAGTTTTTTGATTGTGATTCTTTAGCGTCAGTACACAAAATTCGAAAAAGTATCCTCTAAGACCCACAGGCTTCACTCACCCAAAGCTATAGAAATAATAATAAAATATAAAATCCAAAATTTTGTAGATGATGTAACGTTCACTTTCAACATTCTTCATATTCATTACAATTAAAATCCACTAGTCGGTCAGTTATATGCCATGCGTGATACACGCTTAGGCGATCATGTATCTTTCGATACATGACTGATGAGGCAGATTTTCCCGCAGTAGGTTGCCATTTATTTCAGCAGTAAACCAGTTGCTATCCAAGACTATAGAACGCGATCTGTCCTGCTACTTACCCATAGCTGGGGGAAGAAGAAGAAGATTCATTCCTTTCTCAAGGGTATTAGCACGTGATTTAATGGAGTCGACTGGAATTCGAACTCAGCTCTCCGATTCTTAACAAAACCCAATTTTAATATATACTTAAATTACTTTAACATTTCAAGAATCAAGCATAAACATAGACGCCATTAGTTATTCATATTACCTCTACACAACCAATAAAAACAAAACAGGATTGAAAATATTGATGCATACATAAACGTTAACGCTATAAGGCATACACGTGACGTCGTCGCAACCAATGGAAACTAACTAACTAGAATTTAAAAATATATTACTTCTCTTCCGAAAATTTCTGATGAAGCTAAATAAAAAGAAAAACATTTATAAAAATAAGTTTCCTATTTGTTCTCTATTTAATCATCATCATGAGAGAAGGTCAGTGTGCTTTTTCTCATCTTCTTCAACTTTGTAAATATCTTTTATCAGTCCATTTGAAACCATTCTACATTGTATTACCTCATGAAAGTCTTGTAGGTCTTTCAAAATCTTAATTTTTTTTTTATAGGGAATGATGCATTTCCATTGATAGTTCCTTTAATGTTCTTGTTCAACGTGTATACAATGGTTGTTCGAATAATGTCTATGTATGTTATTCTTTCATTTAGCATTGATGACCAAAACCTTTCCATACTATACGTATTTACTGTTTTCAAAGCTCATATACAACTCTGATATTAATATCAAGTCCTTTCATTTTGGTTTCTCTACCCAACTAGAGAGACAAGCGAAAGGTAAAAGTATTACATATACACTGGTACATCAATACGCCCGTAGCTTAATGATGAAATAAACATTTATTTTCAACAAAATCTCCTTCTTTATCAATCGATTTAATTCAACGCTTTTCTATTAATCATATATACTGAATTTTAAACGGAAAATTTTAAAACAAAATTCCAGTAATAACTCTAAAAGGCTACTGACTTATTGATAAGCTCTCCCATTTATTTGCAGTGATATGGAATCAGTTTGAAAGTGGGCTGATAAATAAGGTTTCCTACCGTGTGGCGTCGTTAATAGTGGAAAAAGAAATATATTTGAACATGTATTTGGTATTATGAGGGTGAATGAAAAAGTAATGCAATTTGTTTTATTAAATTTTATTATATTTGATCATTGCAAAAGGTCGTGCGCGATTTTCACTGTTTTTAATTTTTCAATCGGGCACGAATATTAGCAAAGATTTAATATAAGAAAGGAGGCATAGTGGAGTAATGGATAGCGGCTCTGATTGAGGAATCGGAGATCCGAGTTCGGATTCTAGTTAAATCCATTACATTCACTTGGGAAAGGTATGAATCCCCTTCTTCCTCCCACAGCTTGGATAAAAACTGGTCTACCGCAGAAAAAATACCTACTGCGCGAAAAAATCTGCCTCGTCAACCATGTATCGAAAGATACATGATCACCTAAGCGTGTATCACGCATGACACATAAGTGACTGACTGAATATAACAATTAAGGAACACAATCAAACATATCGTACATCAAGTTATAGCTATACATCACAAGTTCGCATCCCAACTTCTCAACACAGTCACCGCCCCTTTCAGTGGCAGTGTTCCACCTACGCATGTATTTCAGCTTCGTAAAGCTCACCTGGATGCTGATGTAGTCAGTTTCTTACA